TAGGACCCAGGACCCAGGTATTCTCACTGTTAACATGGTTAAAATGATTGCCCCTTGAACTTCACCGTAGTAGTGTTGTTATTCCTGAAGAGATAAGAATAGAGTTCAATCTAATATATACATGTTTTTAAAAGGACACCCATTTGCAATGAGAAAATCAAAATCTTTGAAATTTTCTTACATAGACATAATGTAAAGACATTCAGAAAATAATATGTTAAAGTATCTTGCACATTGATATGTAAAGTTATGAATTCTACAGATTCTGGCATTTATTTTCGACAGATACTGACTGTTGTACAAGGCAGTTTTGTGGACCTGCCAGACCATTTGTCATGGACATTATGGACAACAACATGCAGCCCCTGATTCGATTGGACCGCCCCTTTAGATGTCAAGCGTCTTTCATGTGGTGCTGCTACTTACAGGAAATGGACATTCAGAGCCCCCCAGGAGTCTCCATAGGAACTGTCAAACAAATGTAGGTCAACTGTCAAACAAATGAAGGTCAACTGTCAAACAAATGTAGGTCAACTGAAAGATGTAAAGGCGAAATCAAATTGCACAGTTTGATGTATTTTTCTGTAGGAATTACTTTGTATCATGTGTAGCATTAATGAAAGCTCAGGTTAGCCATATTTTTATCTTCTCACAATGGAGTTGGAGGGGATATAGTAATGCCATTGTGTGTATTTGTGTGTGTTAGCTTGTCCTTGTGCAAAATGGAAATCATTGTTTTAATGATACGTTCATTGTAAGGGAATGCCATGCTGTGTGATGCCCTTGCTTTCTGTTTTCTTATTTTGAAGAATTTATTTTTTTTCAAAATTAAACTCTCAGTTCCTTGTTTTTAGACTTGATGCAATACATACTGATGTTGCATTAAGAGTTTGAGAAATGCCTTGTTATGACAGTCTATTGTGGTAAGTCTGTAGGCAATGAATGGCATTTACACTCCCATAACTGCTTGATTTTCTATTTGCAATAGCTGGACACCATGGAAACCAAAATTTGAGATCCTAGATAGCCAGGGACAACAGAATTTCATCATTGAGGGAGAGTGCTGCTTCTGCTGTCCTTGCAGGGATATTATTTTCAAGGTAAGCGCAACTATGCCATTGCAGGTAATCAACTATGGGCCCAGAGTTCAAGTCCAGGAGGAGGGTAAATTAGTCTTATGTATTTAGCTTATTCAAGGACAACAAGCAGGCATACTTATTACATAATTTCATGAACAGGTCTAGATCTTTTTTGAGAAGCCAAGGTCATTGGAGTTTAAAGTCATAAATTTTGTCTGAGCCCTTATTCGAGATTGTAGAAATAAAACTTTTTACCATCCCAGTTTTGTTTGTACCCTATTAGTATCTAGATTTGACAAGAAATGGAGGGAACAATACAAAACTCTTTCTTGCATCAAAAGGACAAAAGTTAGCAACAGAGAAACCTCTAAAGTATGTCATTCTTGAAAAAACAGATGTGATTACACCCCCTTCTGCAAATGAACATTTAGGGAATATATACAGTGTATAGAAATCACTTTTTCCATCTGGCTATCTCAGATTGATATTGTCTTATTACTTAGCGGGTAATTTACTTGTATGTGTAAGTACTGATTATGCATGAGCTTTGGTTGACCATGAGGGCTTATATTTACCTGTGAGAGTTTTTTTCTTTCTAGGTGTTTGATCCCAAGATGCAGGAGGTGGGGGAAATCATCAAACACTGGGGAGGATGCCGAGAAATCATGGGAGCTGTCAACGACTTCAAAATTACTTGTAAGTTATTTTTTTAACGCCTGTCTAATGGTTAGAGTTGGGAAGGAAAGATAAGAAAAATCCTGTAATTTCCGAGATAGGCTTACTTCAGATGGAAATAGTGAAAAAATCTCCGAATTGAAGATGTGTATATTTGTTGTACATGTATTGTATCTGTTAAAAGAAATACACCTATTATAGTCCCTCACTTAATTACCATAATGTGACATCATTCTCAGTATCAAACTGAATTTTGAAAGAATTTGATAGAATTCATTCCTCCAGCATAGTACTCAAGAATGTTTAAGGAGAGGCTAAAATTTAAAAAAAATTCCTTTTTTCATTGCTATTTAAAAATAGATGTTGTAATATAATACATGTACATTAGTATGCTTGTCATAAATCATTTATTTTTTCCTTCAAATAGTTCCCGTGCAGCTCGACGTCTTCAAAAAGTCATTATTGATGGGTGCTGTTTTTCTCATCGACTTCAACTACTTCGAGAGGAACAGGAACCAGTAACTGCGAAAATCGACCAGGGGGCGAGAAAATTGACTAGTGGGCATATCACAACTATCCCAGGAGAGTGTTGTTGTGTATAATCTACTTTTAAAAAACTTATATTTAATCCCATGTAGTGTAGTACAGCAGTTACTTGTATATGTACCCTGTGTGTGCAACACATAAAAATGCCACATGTGACCGGTATTTAATGAAACCTCAGAGTATTCACTAAGTTTATTATGTGGACAATGATAAGGGTGTTTTATTGCATTGTTGTGAAAATTTTTACTTGTTATTTGGCAACTAACCTTTTTGAAAGAATTTTTAAGTGCATCTACGCAACAAGAAAAAATTTTTTTTAAACACTTTGTATTTTTAGGTTAGATTGTTCATTGAAAATTTTATCTATTGCATGCTTTTACAATAACTGGAAGCTTGTTTCATGATGTTTTAAAGTTTCAATTTTATTCTTCAGTGGCATTGCTGTACATGCATGTTAAGAATTAAAAATTGTTTTATTTTTAACATAATTACATAATTACTGTATACAGGGAAATTTTCGCCCTAGTTGGAAAAGGGCGAATTTAAACTGGGGCGAATTCAAAGTAAATGGTATATCTTAAACAAAAAATTCTGGGGCGAATTTAAAACGGGGCAAACTTGTTTCCAAATGTGAAAGGGCGAAAATAACATGGGGTGAAAATAACCCTGTATAAGTATATGTTGATAGAAAATTTACCTGGTAAAATGTAATCATTTTATACACAACAAAACAGTATGTAGGATCTACGGCCATATCACGTTGGATCTCTTATTTATTTTTACTATGTACATGTATTACAAAAACAAAGCTTTACCAAGACACTATAGACTAGAGTGTATCATGAGCTAGAGAGAGAAAAGTTGATATTAATTACGTGATCTGTGTTACCTGTAATTATTTAAGTTTAAGCTGTGATAAAATTTATCTGATGCCTTATTGACAATTAATTGGTCAGTTTCTTTTTTGTGTGTTTTTTAATTAGATTTTTTTCTTCTTTTAAAAACAAGATTGAAACGGGAAATCAAATTTATTTCAGGTACAATTGAAAGTGTAATATATATAGTCCAAAGGTATTTGTTTTAAATTGTTTTGAACAGAAATTTTAAATATTGTAGTGGTATTTAGCTTTCTTCACAGTACAAACCGCACAATAATTAACTGCCATAAAAATCCCAAAATTGCCCTGGGATTAAGACATTCCTAAAATTTTTATTATCTTTAACAAGTTTATCCAGTTTTTTTTTATACCAAAGATGTGGTTTTCAATGTTATGTCTCTTGTTTGAATACCCTGTGAACCCTATGGACTTACTTGTATTGTTTCTATGTTTCTCATGCACGTATAGATGATCATTTTTAATGGAAAGACAATGTAAAACCACATATCTTAACTGTACATTTGTTAACAATATTTTAAATCCCATTATTTTTACGTCTATCAAGTTTATTTATCACTGTTACAATATATACACATGTATGTACTTTTATAAATGTAGTTTGCTAGCTTAGTTTTAAAAATAACGATAATCAGTGATGCCTTTGTTAATTGTTCATATTTAGCTGTTCATTTCTGTTTGTAAAGATGTAAAAATAAAGTATATACTTTATATGGACATTTTTTTTTTTGTTTGTCATTTGTCTTTTAAAGGGAAAATGGCAATGTAAATTAAAAAGTTTTCATCCCTGTCGCAAAATGGGTAAATTGAAAGCTGTAAAACTGAGCATCTAGCAAGAAGATGGAAGTAATCTCTCAAATTATTTGCAGGTTTAGCTAGAACTGTCCAAAAGGATCAATTTCCCCCTGCTAGGTTTTTCAGAGAAGCTGTCTGGTCACTTAAACTAGTATTGGTGTTCAAAGTTTGTTTAAACATTTATAGTGAAAAGAAGGTATGGTTTAAACTGTATTGTTTTTTTAAAAATTTAAAGCTTTCAAAAAAGTTTTAAAACTGGTTGAAATAATAGTTGAGTTAATGACTGTGATAGATCAGGAAAAAAATATGGCATGAAGAAGTACCATTCCGTAATTATGAAATTACTCTTTTGATGCATTTCACTATAGGCCTCAAAATGATTCATTTCAAGGGTAATTTTCCTCCAGATAATAGTGTCCACAGGTATCGCCCACATTAATTTTTGGATATGTTGTGTCAAATTCAATGAAAAAATCAAATAACTCAAAATCGTTGTGGACGATACCTGTTGACAATATTTTCTGAAAGAAAATTTCAATGAAAATTAGTGTCTCTTGCAGCTTTTAAAGAAAATGTAACAAAATTTACATGTTTATGACGTCACAATTTGCTTTTAAAATGTACGTGAGAAAAGTTATTTGTATAAATTATCGGTATGGTATTTCAATGATTCAGGAAGCATGAGTTTTCATTTTAGGGCTCAAGTGAGCTTTTCTGATCACAATTTGTTTATTGTCCGTCCGTCTGTTTAGCTGTCCATCCATTTGTAAACTTTTCACATTTTTGACTTCCTTTCAAGAACCACTGTGCCAATTTAAACCAAGCTTGGTACAAAGCATCCTTAGGTAAACGAGGGGGGGGGGGGGTAAATTGTTAAAACGAAGGACCAAGTCTCCTTACAATGGGAGATAATCAAGAAAAGACAAAAAATATGGTGGGGTCATTAACTTACTGTTTTAAATCTGTATGCTGCTGATAATTACACATTGCTTGCTGTTTTCCTTTTTTTTTTGGCTTATATCACAGCAATGATTTAGTACAAGTCATATTCTGACGTTTTATGAGGGATTGGCTCAAAACAGTTTTTAATCCACTGGGTTTGTTTATAGCATAAACAAAACCAGGGACATTAGCAATTAACTGGTACCATTTACACTTCCTATTCAGAATGTGACTTAAGTGTAGCAACAATGTCCACTTTTGTCTTTGGCCATGCCCATCATATTCCACTAAAAATAAACAAAATTGATTGAGTTGCTTCATGTGGTTGTCGTCCCTCTCATGAATTTGTCAATCTCATTAAGACACAATAAACAGTTAAACAGAAAAGAATATAAACTTACTGTTTTAAATCTGTGTGCTCCTGACAATTACACTTTGATGGTTGTTCCTCGGCTTCTATCACAGCCAAGATTTTGTACAAGTCACATTCGGAAGTTTAATGCGTGAGTGGCTCAAAACATTTTTTAATCCACTGGGTTTACCAGGGACATTAGCAAGTGGTACCACTTACACTTCCTATTCAGAATGTGACTTGAGTGTAGCAACAATGTCCACTTTTGTCTTTGGCCATGCCCATCATATTCCACTAAAAATAAACAAATTTGATTGAGTTGCTTGCATGTGGTTGTCGTCCCTCTCTTGAATTTGTCAATCTCATTAAGACACAATAAACAATTAAACAGAAAAGAATATAAACTTAATGTTTTAAATCTGTGTGCTCCTGACAATTACACTTTGATGGTTGTTTCTCGGCTTCTATCACAGCCAAGATTTTGTACAAGTCACATTCGGAAGTTTAATGCGTGAGTGGCTCAAAACATTTTTTAATTCACTGGGTTTACCAGGGACATTAGCAAGTGGTACCACTTACACTTCCTATTCAAAATTCTATTAAGAATGTGATTTGAATGCAGAAACAATGTCCACTTCTTTCTTTGGCCATGCCCATCATATTCAACTGAAAAATATAAAAAAAAAAATGATTAATTCATTATGTGATGTTACTTTTGAGAAATTTTCACTCATATGGAGACCCAAAAAAGAATTTAAATAAAAATCAAAAAATTAAACTTACTGTTTTAAATCTGTGTGTTGCTAAAATTACACTTCGATTGCTGTTGTTTTTTGGCTTCTATCAAAGCAAAGACTTTGTACAAGTCACATTCTGAAGTTTTATAAGACAGTAGCTCAAAACAGTTTTTAAATCTTCTGGGTTTGTTTATAGCAAAAACAAAACAAGGGACATTAACAACTGGTACCAGTTACACTACATATTCAGAATGTGACTTAAATGAATCAACAATGTCCACTTTTGTCTTTGGCCTTGCCCATTGCATTCAACTATAAAAAATTATTAAATGATTGCTTGTATAT